GTCCCGTTAAATGCCTGACAGAAATCAGTTAACCCAGTGGCGATTAGCCTTTTCTGCCGGGCAAATGAAGCTCAGCTTCTGGAGGCCACCAACAAGTTTGCACCCGTGACGTGGTAGGTTGAATGCCAAGTTGAGGGTCAGTCGTGTTCGACAGGAACCGGGTCATTCACTAATCCTGTTGTGGTACATGCTGCTAAAGGTACCTGGTGGTCCAGCCTACGGTAGCGGCTAGTAAGCCTATCACCACCTTTAAATGCCGCGGTGGCTGCTGCTCATTTCCAGTCAACTTGCCTTCCAGAAACGAACGATTGAAGGGGTTTGGTAATGGAACTCGGGGCATCGGAACACTCTTCCAGTACCTTCGGGTGGATACGTCAGTTCCCGAAGATTTGCCAGGATTTAAGCCTCCCGATATTCTCCTAATTTTGAAGGGCCCAAGTTCTACACAACAGCCCATCTGTAGCTCAGGTGTCCAGCCCCCACACAGACGAAAAGGAGGAAAATTATTCTAACAAAGGGGGGAATAAGTGGGAAGCTCAATGGCTAAATAAAACGATATCCGTGGGGATATGGAACCGATTTCCCCCCTAAAAGTCGCTTTCCTATTTTAACGTTGTCCACCTTTCCCAGTTATTGTCGGGTTTTTCCCTTAATCCGCATCATTTCCTCTTAATTGTCGACTTTTTTCTACCGTCTTTACTTTATCTCCAAGTTTAAGTGGCAATGCAAAAAACTACACCGTTTCGAAAGCAAAAACTGACGAAATATGATAAATGTATTCAATTTATTTCGCTATCTGTGAATGCAGTCAAATTTTAAGCGCACAAATGTTTATTAAAACGTCATTTCCAAATTAGGCCTTCCAGGTGCAAATGTCCCCAGGAATTTCGTCCACGTGTCACTTAGGTTAGAGCGATAACTCATCCTGAAAAGGCGGAGGAGAAGTGTAGGTAGTATTTACCTGGAATGCGATTTGAAACAATTTGTTCATTGTGGAAAACGCACGTCGCTTATTATATCAGTCTCACACCGCATCCCGCTACTTCTCAGTGATTAAAATAAATTACTTACCAATTCCTTATCTTTAAATGCACATTAAAAGTTAGGTGCAGTTAAAGACATGGGTGTTTACTTTTAGTTGATTCCGGCTGCTGCGCTTGGAAACGCCATCCCGAAGATTGTGAAAGGATGCTTCAGTAGCACCATCCATTTCCTTCAGAAGTTTATGCTCCCTTATGCCAGAGTGACCGAATCCCGCAAGAAGTATGGCTAAAACAAAAATTGCAATTTGTATCCGGATGAGGTGCTGACATCGAACAACCTTGCTGAAAGAGCATTTGCACAATGCTAGCTTGTTCGTTGTTCCCACGGATGTGTAACAACCAGCTAACACTGGCGATAGTAAGCCAGTCAGCACATACTTCATGGACCCCTTTATATCCGAGATAGCCTTCCATGACATTTTGGCGGTCTAAAAATAAATAGATGAAGCGTACCCGTCCTTACAAAGGCATCCCGAAAACCGAGATCTTTTAATGACGCCACTAGGATAGCCAGTTGCTCCCCGGTTTCCAAAAGATATCGCATGGGGTCGTCTGGATGGGACGTATAACTGCCGTCCGGCTTCCCTTTAACCAGCCCTTGAAGCAGTGAACACATTTGCCTATTGTGCTAAGTGATGTCCTTTAACATGCCTTTCTATGAAATTGAGAAAGGTCAGTTATTTTCACTTACTTATTATCTTCCTACTTACTGCCATCTGGTCCTTGTTTGATACTGCACAAATGGGCGGGGATGCCAGAAATGGTTGGCGGTCTCTTGAAGTGCTGCAATGTGAATAATTAACACGAAATTAACTTACCTGGCAACAGGTCATATAACCGTTTCCATCATGCTAACGTTTGGATACGTTGAGACCATAAGATCTCATTGGGCGCCCGTCACTTTAAGGTCCAGAGAATCGTATGCGAAATAATCATCTTTTTTCATAGCCCTGTAAATGTAGTTTCCAGATTCACTGTGTCCTGCCGCTTGCATTTCTTCTTGGACAACGAGAAGGTAACTTCATCTGCAATAACCCTGTCCTTAGACTACAGTTTTAGACTGTATTGCCCCCCACCCACTGATCCGAAGTCATCGTCAAAATAGTTTTGGTGAACACCACTCCTCATTAGTTTTTCGCAATCTGTAATTGCCCAGTCACTCTGTGGAGGTACGCAACGTCTTATGTCTTTGAATAGGCATAGGTTGTCACTGAACATCCACTTGCTGGGTACGGTGACAACCTCGTTTAGTTCTTTCACAACAAGCAAGAAGAACGTAGCACCTGATGAAAGCTTAATAAAGGTATTATGAGAAGTTAGTTCACTCGAAGACGAAAGCCTTATTATTCATAGCACCATTACTTCGGTGTCCAGTGCTAATCAAGTATTTGGTGCATACATAAACAAAACCATTAGAACCTAGGGGCAGAAACACTTTCTAAAGCAGACAGTGAACAGGGATGCAGAACTAGCACGGATGATAGCGGGCAGTCAAACTACTGGGGACAATTTCTTTCCGGTCTAGTTGCCCATGTTAAGCAGCAAGTGAAAACTATGTGGTGAAGGAATCACATCCTCATAATTCTTGGCGGGGATGCTGAAGCATTTGCACGTAACCTTATCTACGTCTATCCAAATGGTCTAGCTACCAACTACTGAGCATTTGAGGACCCTGACGTTACATGAGTCAAACGGTTAGCCGAAGTAATCACCGAAGTCCCTGTACACACGAAACTTCTACCTGTTGCCCGCCATTTCCGTCACAAAGCCTTGGTTTCCCCTAGCCAGGCCTGCAAGATGCAATAGTTGTACCCCAGTAATCATTTCTTCCCTCTAAGTTGTTTATCATAACTGTTGTCGACCCATTACAGGGTTCCCTGATAATAGTGGCCTCCTTTGGGAAAGTGGGTTTTTCAACATACCGTTGAGCAGCTTGCTTGCAGTTATATAACCCCGATGGGTAGAAGCTTTTATCTTGTGCACGTAAGATTCGAACGAAGAGGCCGAAAAAGACTCTACTGGTCCATGTTGAGCAACGTCATCTGCAACGCGCTTGACAGAATGAACAATGTACACCATCTGTTCGGATCCATAAAACCCATCAAATTCCACAACGAACTTGTGCAACTCAGTCTTAGCCCCCTGCACAAATGTTAAGTGGAACCTAACACTTGACAGGAAGCAGACAGCCAGAGATAATCGGTGGAAATCGTTGAAGACTGCAGGCGTGAGCAAATCCTTCAGAACAACGGGGCCCACGTACAGAAGAAATACACGACTTTCTGTTCCCTCCCCACCGTGCTACATCCGTTAGACTGCGATACTTCCTCGGGAAGTCACTGGGAGTGAGGCTTTCGCATTCTTCCAGATTCAGGTCTATTTCAGGAATGACACTGCTGTTCAAACGCAATTCTTTTTCTTCGAGAGGTCCATTCACAGCAACAACAGTTTTTAATACCCCCAAGTGGATCAGATTCATGGGTTCCAATGGGAGAAGCTGTATCATGCTGACTGGCAAACTAGCAGTTGGACCTACCACGATGATGATTACATTGCCCATCGTAGTTCAACTGCAGTTCATCTTCGCTGAAAGTAGTGAATCCCAGACACTACCCTACATAACAAACTACACTACTCCTCAGACTAATATGGCAATATATTCCTGATCCTGTAACTCTTGGTTCACACGGAGAACACCTTCGTAGTACACTACGGATACCACGAAGCAACCGAGGAAATTCTTCGCTGAAAATCTCCGAAATAACGTCACCATTGGCTTGCGTTGTGTTTATTCGCAGCATCATACTCATGACAATTTTCATCATCCGCTCATGTCTACTTGCCGTCTTGTCTTACGGTGGCGCAGAAGGTACAGCAGTTTTTAAACATTATGCGTAGGAAATTAGTATCGACAAATACCGCTATCATCCATTCCGGTAGTGGAAATCTGGTTGCAGTCGACTGTAACCATCAGGCTTGGACGTTCTGCAGCTACACCTGGCCACTTGTCAGCGTCAAATAGGCTTTTTTTACTAGTTCTGGGATCCATTTCCATGTCCCCAAGAGACTCCTTTATACTTCTCTCGGACGCCTTAGAAACAGCCCTATAAATTCGTTTACATCGTCTATAAAACGTGGACCTGTGACAGTGCACACCATTCTGTAACAGTACAGATCCCTATTTCGCAGTGAGTCCCCAAATTTGAGATACTGATGATTGAGAACACAAACGCCCTATACGACGAACACGCCACTAACCTCCACGATATACGTTGAAATGAGGGTTGGCGCGACAGGTGCCGAGAAAGTATTAGCAATGAACTTTAACAAACAAATACTTGATAAGTTATTAATAGAAATCAGTTAATAAGTGCATACTCAATGAACTTAAGAGCTATAAAATGGTCAACTGTATATATTCCATTTCCTTAAACACTTTCCCCAATGGTAATGGCAGCTGCGCTACGGCTTCCACCTAAATGTCACCAAATTACCTACCTTTCCCCTCTCTTTTCACGCCTTCCAAAAACAGCATCTCCATCAATGTCCACTACTGCCCATTATTTCCCCCTTTTTCCGATTTTCCCCCTCATTTCTCTTTTTTGGCAGAATGGGCCTGAAAGCAGTTATTTTGGGATTTTAGAGATGATAGGTCAGCTATCTCACAGTTCGTGTAGTGATTTTCTGGATCAATAAGGTTGTGTGTAATGCATTTCGGAGTTCCTTCCTGCATCATCAGCAAATATAATGTCTCGTGATTGACTTTGTGTTCCACGAGTTTGTCTGGTTCTTAATTTGTTTCCATTCCACCACCTACTTCTACAAACACGGAAATTTCAAATATTTTCTTGAACTATCAGTTCACAAGAATGAAGGATTCTTTAGTTTTTGATACCAGTTTTTCTAGCTTTTTGTTCATGATTATTATTCCATGTTGATTGTTTTAGTGAGTCTTTCAAATGCCTATGGCTTCTTTTCAAATGTTAGGCGCATTCTGGTGTTTTGCAATTTGGTTATGTTCTTATAGTAGTTATATGCTTCTTAGGAATGCGGGTTCGCAATTCAGTAAGTATCCTTTTCAATGCAATGATATTTGAGAGTTTTTCGTTGTTGTTTTGGTGTGTACTGAAAGATATGGACATAATTTCCCCAGTTTGGTTGACCTAGCTGGTTGGCACTTAGTTTACAAAAGTTAATTTACCTACTCAAGTTATCTTCCCATTCATGTCGTTATATATCACGTTGTTGCTGAGTATGGTTGGTTAGTTGTGTGCACATCACTGACGTATCTCCATTCTGCTGAGGTGTTATTGAGTATATTTTAAATATATGTTTGACATTTTGACACATTGAGTGCTTTGGAACAGTCATAACCATAAAATTGATATTAAAAGCTGCGATATGCCCGCTTAGTACTGTTTCGCTCCTAAGTTTCCAGAGTTAAGGGTAAGCAAACAATTTATTTGTTCCTTCGATTTGTAATATTTTGGAGACTAAGCTTCGATCCAAGAGGACAGTTTCACTGGTTCCCAATTCGACGCCTCGAACGTATTCCAAGTAGGAACTGCTCGACCATGGTTTGTAGACGTCTCAAGATCTCAGGTGAAAATTAGACAGAATTATCAAATAGGTTCAATCGGTTCTCAATTTGTAACCTAGACTGCCTTATTCTGTCATGAGGTCCTTTAACTATCTAAGGGTGATGGTAAAGTATTTTATCGACCCACTCGTTAACAGAATAGCATGGAGACCCTTGTGGCTTAGTTTGTTCTCTCTCCATCAGTTGTCATCACCATCAGTATCAGCATAGGAATAGGCATTACTGCGTAACGGCCTAGGTTGCCACACCTTATCAGCACATCAGGTAACAAGGCGGTAAAATGGAAGATAAAGAAGGGAAGAAAAACCAGTCAGAGAAGGTCGAGGCAGACCGCAGTAAAAGAGAGGAAGGAAGAATGAGGAAATGATGAGATTAAGTATAGTGGTTAAAATGAGGGTGATGTGTGTATACATGTGCGCCAGTGACATTGATTCTAAGCCACATGACCTACAGTCTCCAACCAGTAGTTTTCCCTGACCTGCGGATCCCAACCGGCTAGCCTGCATCGCCCCACATGGCTCAAACCAACAGTCTAAGACTTCATACATTGGTGCCATGTATTAGTCTGTCCGCCCTGAGCCTTTTTCCACCATGAACCTACTTCGACCAACACTGACGAGGTAGACAGTGGTTAGGCATATGTAAGATGTCCCATCCATCTCAGTCCATGAAAGTTTACAACAGCATCAGCTTTCTTACCTCTCGTCTAAAACTCTGCGTCTGACTTCTACGTTACTCATGTGGTGACACCACGAAACGGCCTATCCTACAAAGGCAGCAGTGATCAAACACCCGAGGCCTCGCGTCTTTCACTTTCAATGGCCATGTTTCACAGCCATACAGCAGAAGAGCGGATTGCAGCACAGTACACTCGACTTTTAATAGACAATTGGATGTCGGCGGCGCCGCATGTGGCAAAAGTTGTCAAAGGATAACTGAGCTTTTTGTATCCGTGGTGAGATTTCGTCGGCCACTGAATCACCACGACTGATCCAAATTCCCAGGTAAGTGAAATGTTCAACGCACTCAACCATTTCACTCTATTGCTAGCCAGTGCACCATTGAAGACCAGTCCAGGATCAACAGTTCACATGAAGGGCGAGAAACGCATCCCAGACATTGAGATTTCCACTCAATGTGTCCAGAAGACACTGCATCTTGTCAGCGTCTTCACTTAACAGGACTCTGTCATCAGAGTATTCTGGGTCTATCAAAACCTCCGATGATTAGGTCTATCCCTTCATAAGAACTTCTATGATAAAATCGAATGAGAGTGGAGGGAGTGAGCATCTTTGACGGACATCACTCGACGTACACAACTCGACATCCCACCATACGCTGTAACACATCCACAGGTGTTCAAGTAAAGAGCCTTCACTGTGGTGTACTTAACCAGTACCCCCCCCCATTGAAAGACATTGCCATAAAACTCAGTTCACAGAGTCGAGTGCCGCCCTCATGTGCAGAAATAAAGTTATCGTTGGGCGTCAGTAAGCGTGCCTGTGTTCCAGAACCTGGCAGTGTGAATATTTGGTCGATTCACCAACGACCGGGTTTAAAGCCTGCCTGGTTTTCTCGGACTTGCTGTTCCCAAGCTCCACTCAGGCGTCTAATGGTCTTGGACACTTCGTCAGACTGATTCCTCTGTAGTTATCACAAGAGGACTTCCACCTTTCTTGAAGACTGGGTTAATCAGTGATTGTGACCAGTCAGGGGGAATCATATTTGACTTCCATACACTAGTTAACACTTCAGTTAACCTGACTAAAAACACTACCATCGTCCTTATGTACCTCAGGTACTAGTCCATTTAGACCTGTTGCTTCAAGTGGTCTAACGCGTTCTTAACTTCTGCAGGTGTTGGACGCCCTTTCTCAATGTTTAATTCAGAATCCGACTAGATGGTAGGTAACCCAATAGTAGCTGCAGGCCAGTCGAACTGTTCCTTGAAGTGTTCTGCCCATAGTTCCAGTTGCCTCCCTTGCTATTGAATCGCAGATCCACCCTTCTCCTCTATAGTCTCACTAACCATTGACCTTTTCGCCCCAGTTTCCTTAATAAATGTAAATAATTGTCTGCTGTTTCATATCACTGCTGCCTTTCCCATTTCTTTAGCCTTCGCTGCCTACCACTGTTCGCATTCATTAAGTAGACTTTTGGTCAGTCTACATTTGGGTTGTGTTCACTCCTCATTGTACTCAGCCTGTAGGGATGCGTTTGTGTCCATCCATTAATTTAAAAGCTGCTGATATCCGCTGGCTCTTGAACCACTCTAAGAGTCGGCTACGTTCTTCAGGGTTGTTTTTACAGCAGACTAGAGATGGCACCAATCTTCTTTTGGACGAGTGATAGTGTTTTTTTTCGATAACTACCCAGCCAGTTTCTCACTGAAAGCGGCCTTAGTGTTCTCATTATCGAGCTGCACTCATAATGGTCTTGTTGCTAAAGTTTTTCGACGTCCATTGAAATGCATACATATACGTGCGTGATCGTTATCCAAACGTGCTCCAGAAGGAATGGCAGTTTTCCACTGATACTCCAGCGACGACTGATTACAATGTGGTCTATCTATGTCCAACGCCGAGTTGAGCTCGGTGGACGCCACGTCAGACGATGTCTCTTCCTGTCTGAAGTGTGTAGTAGCTAGAAATAAACAGTTATCTGATCACAGTTGTAGTAGGTGATCACCATTCTCTGTCCGTTCAGCCGGCGTTCTGAAAGTCCCACCTAAGTTATTTTCTGTCTGGCTCAGACTACCCACTTCTGCATTGAAATCACCTATAGCAACAACCACGTCTGAAAGTTTGGCTTTCAGAAGACAGTTTTCGGCAGAACTCATGCTTCACTTCACCCGAACTGCATTCAGGGGGTGCGTAAGCAGAAACTACAAAGAGAAAACGGTGAGTCCCAGTGTTCCCTTTAGTTTATGCTGTACCGTTCAGCCGGACCGCGCATAGGTGAGTGTCAACTGGGATCCAGTCAGCCTAGTAATGAGGTCTCTGCTCTAGTGCCGAATGCTGACTACACCTGTGAGACCGCGAAAAGTAGCCGTCGAATCTCTAGAAACTCGAAGGGTGAATTTCGCGGATCCACCATATTGGCCGGGAGAAGTTAAGTGAATACCTGCATCCGGGTCTTGTAGGCGTGTCTCACAAACACAGCACACATCCATGACCCGAGTTTCTAGAGTTTTGGGCCACTTGACGGAGGGTGCGGACATTGAAAGCTCTAATGTGTAATTTAGAGATTGGTTCGAAGAGACCAGTGGTGCTGTTCTGAGGACTCAGATTGTTGTCGAAAGCTACAGTGCTAGAAAATGATGTAGGATTGTTAACTGAGAGACGTCAAGGAAGATTAGAAGGTAAAGATGAGGGAGGTGGATATTGGTCTGAGGGACTTAAGCGCTGACAGAGTTGTGAGGGCATTTGACACTTGCCGGCTACCCACACTGTGGAAGGTCGGGTCTTGTAATGCATTTCATATTTGAGTTGCACAGTTCTTGAACCCTACTTCTGTATGTTTGTCGATTGCAGAACATATCGAACGGACAGACAGATGAAAACAACGTAGAACTTCGCACACAAGCTCATCGGTTCAAGTTAACGCACACCACAGTAGCATACAAAAATGAAATGGATACGAAACACTGATGTTCTAGTCGACAAAGGTGTATAGGGGAATATGAAAATTAAAAATTAAGGTTCGTCAAAACATTCAAGCTTAAGAAGACATCAAAAAGTGAGTACATCTCTGCTCTATTTCAACCACTTCTTAGTCACTTCACTAAAAATCCTCAACTATTGATTCCTTTCCTCTCACGGGATACAGTTAGGTAGTCTACAGCTCCCCCGCATAGCTCACACCAAACGTCAGGGACGCCATGCAGTGTTGCCACGTCCTAGTCTGATCACCCTGAACCCTATTTTAACCTAGTCCAACCTTCCCCAGCATTGCACGTCGAGGTAAGCGGTGGCACAGCATGCACAGAACATATCCAAGCAACCTCAGTCGATGGAGGTTTGCAAACCTATAGATCGCCTTACCCTCTTTGCCTGGTAACCTCAACATTGCTCACATGGTTACTCTACCAAGCGCAAGCAACGGTATGAAGACACCTGCCATCAAAACTCTGCAACCGCTTCATAACACCTACTTTCAATGGCTCTAAGTCGTGTAACAGGACGGACTGCAGCGCAGTATGCTCGTCGTTTAATATAGTCGGATATCTCGCCAGTCGGTGCCACAAATGACTCAAGTTGATGAATGCTAAGTAGGCCTTCTGCATCCGAACTGAGATCCCGACAACAACCTCACTAGGGCTCTTTCAATTCCCCAAATAAGTGAAGTGGTTGACACATTCCACCACTTTACTCTCTATTATTAAACTGGGAGTACTTGCAGCAGACCAATCTCGGAGCATCATCTTACATCTGACAGGTGCCAGCGAAACGCACGACAAACATAC